CAGTCCTTAAAAGTTTGCCTAGATGTATTAACAGTTCACAGCCACATTGCATTTAAACACAAGTGAGTAGCGAGACCTCCTGTGAGTTCGTGGCCTTCGTCCCACCCACTAACCCACCGCAGTGAGTCTGTTAGAATGACTGTTGGACAGCTTTTTATACAGTCTGGTCCGCAGTGGAGAAATGAATTCTAAGGTACTGTGTTTCTTGGGTGATTTTAATACAGTATTTTGCCAAACTAAACTTCCTAAAGGAAGTCAGAGCTACCGAAAGGAAACTTCCCACCATGACTAAAAGGACTCTGTAAAGGGATCAGTCCTGATTTCAAATATTCTGTCTCTAAAATCTAATAAGATTTCTTTAGTCTAATTCTAAGATGGTCCCCAACTTAATATTAATTAAAATTAGCTTCCATCAACCTAGTTAGTGCTGCAACGTGCACCAAACGGAGAGTCTATCTAATTCAGTCCACCCCAAGCTACCTGCTATCTGCTGTGTGCTAGTTTACAGATTTCAAGGTCATGTCCCTCCTCTGGACACTACAATGTGCTAGGTCTGCTTTCAACACCATTTACCTCCCCTTCCCTTCCTAAGGACCGTCATTTACAACTTCAGAAAGACTTTCCTTCACTCACCTTCGTCTGTACTCTTTCTTTTCACTTCCAAACATCACCTCCACCATTAAATAGAAAGACCCCACGTGGCAGTGTAAAGATCTCAAACTGTGGAGTAGAACAAACCTGGGCCCGCGTACCAGACCAGCGGGGCCACGTGCCTGGTGTTGGAACCTGAGCACCTGTCCTCTCCTCTCCAAGCCTCTTAGCCTTCACCTCTATAAAATGATGACAGTTGTGTCCCCCGCCCCCACAGGGTTATGGTGGAGATGAGTCACGTAGTGATAGAATTGGTTCTGCCAACACTCACTAGAAGTCGAATAAATATTAGTTATTATTGTTTCTGTCCTGTCAGCTACAACAGCCACCTCCACAGAAACTGAATGAATGCCCCATTGCTCAATGAGTTGCATGTATTTTTTGTGTATTAACTCCATATCAGGTAAATGATGTTCACATATTTTCTTCCATTTCATGAGAATAGGAGGAAATAGTCGTTTTGCTGCTTTTCATTATAGTGATCATTTTTCGTTTTGTCAATCATTGTTTTGCTGTGCAGAAGTTTTTTTGTTTTCTTTTTTAAAGATTTTTTATTGGGGAATTGGGGGGATGGGAACAGTGCTGGGGAATTAGGGGAAGGGGAACAGACAAGTTGATGTTGTTTTGTTCTTCAGTCTAGTTGTGGAGGACGTTGCTTCACTGGCCCAAGTTGGCACCATCATTGCGCTCTTCCTGGGCGAGGCAGAGATTATAAGAATTTTTTTAAAAATGAGATGTGGCTACTACCTTACTTTCAGTGAACGTGCAGTAGCAGTTTTCTGTGGGTTCTCAAATATTTGTTGAAGGAAAGCAAAAAAGGCTTTCTGTTACTCCGCATTGTCAGGGCCTGTGGGCTGGGGTCGGGGCCCAGTCTACGTCCCCTACAGCTTTCTCATCTCCGTTCGCTCCTGGGGCCTCTGACCCTCCCCCACTTGCTCTGACCAGCCGTAAATCTAAAGGCTTCCAGCCCTTTGTCTTCTTAGTTACATCTTCCATCTAGTGGTCAAAAGGGTAACTGCAAGGTGAACGGCTACCTAAAGAACACAGTGTCCCAACCAAGGCAGGCTCCAACCCACGTGCGCCCGCAGCCATCTGTCACTCCATCACCTTTGCCCCATCGTCCCCAGCACAGGGCCTTTGTACCTTCTGTTCCCTCTTATCGTCACCTACTTAATACCTACTAACCTTTCAGAGCAACTCAAACATCTTCAGGGAAGGACTTCCTTTGACCTTTCTGATTAGGTCAGATTCTCAGAGCAGTCGTAGCTTAGGATAAGTTATTCAGTCCTAATGTGTGCTTAGTTTGTGATCATTGCATTTAATTCGTGTTTCATTTACTAGAACATCATCTCCATGAGGGAGAGGAGCCCTGTTCTCGGTCATCATTCCACCCGAGCACGTGGCCCAGCGCCTGGCACACAGCAGGCGTTTCTGTATCTCTGCTGAGTGACTGAGTGAATAGAATGCCCTTCGTGCCTCGTGCACACTGACAGTTCTGCAATTAGTACAGCCTGCAGTTAGTCGTCTGCATTGTGCAGTTTCTTAGGAGTTTTTAATTCATTTAGATACTCAACAGAAACCACCTACTATGTATGGAGGGGCACATTTTTTCTGGAAATATTAATTGCCTACTTTAAAGAATAATTTTATATTAAAGGCTAAGATGATAACTTCCTTATTTTATTTGGCTCATCAGCCAATGAGGGGACCAGTGAGTTATAAAAAACGGATACAGGGTAATCTGAAGAGCAGACACCTAGACTGTCAGGAACACTGAATGTACGTGCCGATAGTTCCCCAAACCGCCAGCACCCACACCAGGGTAACAGCATGTCCCTGGGACAGAACTGACTTGCACACTTGTGGACAAGAAATGTTTGCATGAGCGTCGGTCCTCCACAAGTTAGCGTCCATCTCTGCAGGTTACAGAGTTAGGTCTATGAACGGCACATACCTCTAGTTCACACGTGATGTGGACCCTGCGTGCAGAGAGCGCAGACGGGAAGGGTGTAGGCAGAGCCCTCGGTAATTGTGCAGCGTGCGCAGCAGTGCAGTGGCCAGTGCTGGTCACGGGAGGACCCTCGCCAGCAGAAGAGAAGCTTCACAGAGGTGACATGTGGGTCAGAGACCGAAGGGAAGCTAGGATTGTTCCAGTAGAGGAGAAGGGAGATGCTGGAAGAGGCGTCTGTGTGTAGTGCTGTGACAGGGAGTACAGGTCATTTGCTGAGGCAAGAGTGGTGGATGGCGGCCAGTCAGACGTGGGGAGAAGAACAGGAAGGCAAAGCAAAAAGGTGGATCTTGACCATGTTTGGATGGGCGTCTCATTAATGCCAAGAAGTTTGACCTTAACTTAAAGGAAATCAATGCTTTTAATCAAAGGAATAAAATGACCAGATACGAGGTTTTTAAAAAGTAACACATTGAGGTCTATTTTGACAAATGCATATGAGGTTTTAACAATAAAATTGTACGATGATGATTTGACGGATGAAGAGACATTCTCTTGATGAATTTTAGTTGTATTTTTTATTTCACGTACATTGTGAGATATTTGATGGTTGAGATGGTTGTATTTCGTTTGGCAAGAACAGCATATGTGCATTTTTATGAGTATTATCTATCAAAATATGGTGTTACTTAAGTGCATTTATTAATCTCCAAGTTGGATTTGATTACTAATGTCAAAATCCATCAAATAAATAACAGATCAAAGGATTTTTCCTGAGATTGTAAAAATCAGTGTTATACCAAGGACTAAATAAAACATGTAGCTTTTTTTTCCTGTTAATTATTAACTGTGATACCTTATTTCCTAAAATGTTAATCATGTTTTAAAATATCAGAATTTGAAAAGCTTGAGTTTTACAACTAAAAGAGGTTGTTGGCTAACTTCGTGGACACCCAGAAAGTGTCATTATAGTCTAGCAATGCTTTCTAAATATTAGCGGTAGTGTGAGAATCTTGTTTCTTGCGGCAGTAAATTAAACAAAGCTGGCTATTATTAGTACTCTGATCAGGAGGAAAAGAAAAAGTCTTTCCCCCTTTTCATAAAAATGTATAGAAAAAGGTACACATTTCAAAATACAGAAAAGAAAAGCTTAAATAACAGCAAAAAGCAAATACACAGGCAGCAGGAGGTCGGCTCACCTGTGACGTCAGCTGATTCTCTAGGTGCCGACTGTGTCACATCATTTAGCAGAACTTTGGAAAAATATTTATAAGGTTGTTTTTCCTGGGAATCAACTTATTTTTCCCTTTGTCTCAATGTCTTTACTATGCTGACTGCTTGGTGGCTGTATCTCTTAATTTATTTCATAATCACTCTTTTATAAAAAGCATCTGTTCCCAAATATAGGCCAGATTATGACCCCCTTGGTGCTTATTTCAGGGAGTTGTACATAATAATTTACGATGAAAGCGTTTCTTGACCCTCGGAAACTTTCCCATTTTACATTTATTACTGTGAGATTTCTATCCAGGTCTGAGATAGAATGATCTTTTTCTCTGAATGCGTACGATATACACAAGTCATCCTGCTAGCGCCGCCTCTGTTTATTATCGTTTTAGCTAGGAAGATAAGCAGATGTGCACCCCTCCCTGAAGCTCAGTCAGTTGGATTAAACGTGTATATTTTTATCTTTACTGTGTGTATTGAGGTTGCTTTCCTCGTTCTTGGTCATTCCCGTGTCAGTTTCTGTCCAGTGCTGGCTCGTGTGTGGGCTGTGAGTCCAGATGCAGGTATGTTCTGACTGGCGGTGGCCAGCACCCTGAAGAACCCAGTGTGTTTCCTGCAGCCTAAGTCTGTGTGCTACCAGTTACCCAGAAAGGCTTCTGTTCACACGGCTGTGCCCAGGTCTTTTCGCCGTGCTGTGGGTTCTGGGCATGGTGGGAAGGATCCTTTATCCCCCCAAGAGCACTGTCCCCGAGCCCCAGTCCACCAGAAGCAGTGACACAGAGGGGATCTGGGCTCATTTGCGCTCAGAAGCTGAGGATGCTTTTGTTAAATAAGCTGCCGCTTTTCTCTGTCTTGAGTGTGGATCAAATTGATTGTAAGCCAAGCATCCCTAACAGGGAGCGACTGGCTGGGTGATGGTGCCCACGCGCGTGCACATTCAATCCCGTGATTTGGTTTCTGTTTGTTCGTTTTCAGGTGTGAGTAAGTGTTGAGATAAATAGCATCTGATACCCTCCCTTCTTCCTGCCCAGCTTGTCAAGTTATTGAATAATATAGAAAAACCCTGAATGCATAGTTTTAAAAGTGTTCCTTATCAAATAAAATTGTGCCTTTGAAACGCATGAGAGACTCGTTTTCACTACTAACGCCACTTTGCTGTCACCTCTGTCTGTAGGCACGCTTAAAAAGGCCTCCGAAGAGCCTCGATGGTGCTGTGTACGGGGACGACGACGAGGCCATGGAAAGAGCCAGCAAGTGAGTAATGGGTTTGACGTCCTACTAAGCATGTGGCGACCTGGCGGAAGTTTAGGTCACAACAGATATTGCAGAGCGTGCGCGCCTAGAGATCGGATTTTGCCTCTTGCAGTGTTTGTTCTTCAGCAAAAGGCGCCCAGTGCTCGCTGAGGTCTCATGGGGATAAATCTTGAGATGGGAAAGCAAGACAGACCTGAAATGTCTTGTTCAGAAATGTCAGGGGCAATGTGGCGTGGATGGAAGCCCAGTCAGGCCACACTGCTGCCCTCCTGCTGCAGGAGGCAGGTTGAGTGGCAGGAACGGGGGCGGAGTCAGCTGGAGCCTGTCAGTCAGAGAGGGGGAGGGACTTAAGTCTACCGTGACAGCAGAGGAGCAAAGTTTAATACAAAGTGTTAAAATAATTCTAGTATAAAATAAGGGAAATCACAATAGCATATGTTCAGCTTCTCAACAATTTTAAGACATATGGGGATGACAAATGGACATTCTTATTTTCTCCGTAAAATCTACCTTTGTCTATATAAAGGAACATGAATTCTTCTCTAAGATAAGTGAATAAATAAATAAAAGGAAAACTATATAAAAACAGTGAAAGTGAACTTGAACTATTGCAAACTTTCCAAGTGTTCAAGCTGCTATTTCTCAGGCTGTTGTCCCACATCGCACCAAAGTAGAGCATGCAACAGCCCTGCTTGCGTCCTGATCCGTTCAAATCCCACAGACTTCCTGTCTGTCCACCATGCAGACGCTCAGAATTGCCAGTATGCGGATGGGCACACGCATCGCTGTAAACAATTTGGCCAGAAGCCAGTTACCCATTCTCCTGTTGTCCCCCTGAAATGTCGCTGTCATTGAAGTGTTGGGAGGTTGCTTCCGTGCAGCACGGGGGGCTCTGTAACCACGGGCACCTGTTTGGTTTTCTGCAGGCTGTCATCTGAAGATGGCGAGGAAGCCTCTGCTTATTCTTATGAAAGTGACGACTCTGTGGAAACACGAGTAAAGGCTCCTTACTCAGGCGGAATGGACTTACTCGGCGAGATTCTGGATACGCTGAGCACTCACAGCTCTGATCAAGGAAAGCTGGCAGCAGCCAAGAGCTTGGATTTCTTCAGATCAATGGATGACATTGATTACAAACCGACGGTCAGCTGATTTCCCAATTATAAAATTAAATGGAAACGTTCTTGCTTTTGCTGCAATTGCCTGATGTAATCTCAGCCTGTAGAAGCGTTTAACCTCTCATAGCTAGCTACGTGTCAAAACTTCAAAAATATGATAACATTCAATCATTAAGAATTATTTATAATAACAGAATTTTCACATTTTCCCTTTTATTTATCCAGTTCTGGTGGTTATTGTCATTAATTGAAATTCTTTTGTCCAGCAGTAATATTTTCTGACAGTCCAATTTTTATAGTTGTCTTTTCTGGAGAATTTTTAAAATGTGAAATGTTCCCACTTTTTTCTGTTTTTCCTGAATCTTCAAAAAATGTTAATAAATGTACTAATTGAAGTAACTTTTTATTGCACTGCCTCAAAAATGAACAATACTTTAGACAAACTGAGCTGCATGCTTTAAAACTACAGGAGATGGCAGTACTGTTCTGACTGCCAGGAATTCTGGAACTTGCATTGATTATATACTCTAGTTGCCTATTTGTTTTTGTTTTTTTGTGGGATTTTTTCCCCAAATCCTTTTAATTTTATTTTCAGCTTTATTGAAGTATAATGACAAATAAAAGTGGTATATATTTAAGCTGTACCACTTGATGCTTTCATATCCATATACACGTGACATGATCACCACAGTTAAGGCAGTTCACGTACCCATCACCTCACTTAGTCACCATTTTCTTCTCCTTTCTTTTCTTTTTCTTTTTTTTGAGGTGAGAACACTTAAGACCCATGCTCTTCGCAGCTTTCAAGGGCGCAGTACTGTGTTGGGAACTGTAGTTGTCATGCTGTACGTTAGGTCCCCAGGATTATTATTCTTGCATAACTGCAATTCCATACCCTTCCACCAACGTCTCCCCATTTCTCCCACCACCCCCAGACCCTGGCAACCCCATTCTACTCTTTTTTTTTTTTAGCTGAGCCATCCTGCTACCTGTGGCAGCTCAGCGGCTGCTCAGCTCGGGCTGGACTTGAACCGCTGTTGCTCAGAGCTCAAACTCTTGAGCGAGCTCTTAACCAAACCCCCATTCTACTTTTTACTTGAGTCTACTTTAGATTCTACACAGAAATGAGATCACGTAGCTTATGTCACTTAACATGTCTTCCATGTTTATCCATGTTGTCACCAGTGGAAGAAGTTTCGTCTTTATCAGGCTGAATAATATTCCATCGTGTGTACACACCACATTTTCTTTGTCCATTCATCCATCAGTGGACACGTAGGTCATTTCCATATGTTCACTGCTGTGACTCTGCCGTGGTGACCACATGGCACAGCTGTGTCTTCAAGATCCTGATTCTATTTCCTTTGGAGAAACACCCAGAACTTGGGGAGCTGGGCCACGTGATGGCTCTGTTCTTAATTTTTTGAGGAACCTCCACACTGTTTGCCGTAGTGGCCGCACCAATTTCCATCCCCACCCACAGTGCACGAGGGCTCTCTTTTTCTCCGTGCCCTCGCCAACACTCATAAACTAGTCTACGGGTGACAGTTGCAAGGACATGGAAACCAGCGTCTCTCTCACTTCCTGCCTATAAATAGAGTCATTTGGATGTATTCGGAATTAACTGTCAATGCTGTGTTTCCCCTGGAAGGAATTTCAAGTTCCCAGCCTTAAAAGATGTTGATTTCAAAATGGGGGAAAGTGCTGCTAAAGTAGTGCTATCGTTTCATTAGCATGTTTCTGAATTTGTCGTTTCCCCTTTCAGAGTAAGTCCAATGCTCCTAGCGAGAATGACCTGGCCCTCCTTGGCAGCGGCTCTGGTGATCGAGCCGAGTGGCACCTCGGGCAAGATGACAGCGCCCTCCACGGCAGACACCTCCCTCCGTCCCCCAGGAAGCGGGTCTCCTGTAGCGGCCTGACGGAGCCTCTGTGTATCCTGAGAGAGGAGAACAGCGACAAAGCCCTCAGTGCTGACCACGTGAGCGGGCCGAGCGGCGTGGAAGAACCAGCGCCCGGTTCGGGCTTGGATTTCCAGCCAGCCTCCACGGAAGCTGCCCACACCGAAAAAGGAACAGCAGAGAGGAAGGAAACACTAAGCCAGGTTTCAGATGACCTGCTCGCCCCCAGCCTTGGGCGACGTCCGTCGTCTTCTGTTCCTTGGGAGAAAGAAGGAAAGGGAGCCACGGGGACGTGGGAGGGCGTAGGACTGCTTCACGAGGTCGCGTCACTGTGTCACATGACGTCCGCCTTCCAACAAGACTTAAACATTTCAGAAGAAACCACGAGTGGAAACCAAGCTCAGATCAACAATTAAGAGTCCGTCCTTTGCATCCAAGCTTCTATGGAGACATTCTAGGATTCCATGTAATTGATACAGTAAACAATCATTGTAGGAACGGCAACTCTTGCTACTGTCTAAAAAATGATTTTTCAGTTGGAACATCGCTCGTTTGCCTCGTGGGTATATATTATCCATAGATTTTTAAGTGTAAAGCTAATTCTTCTACTGTGCTCTTAAACCAGGTACTAGTTGGTACGTCTGTTGAAAGTATACATTGCACATGATTTCCCAGTGTTCGGTGCTTGACGCCACTCACCTTATTTAAACTAGAATGCCTGTGTAACCCCGGCGCATAACCAGTAGCTGCTGTACTAATCTGGTTGAGCATGAACTGATCAAGATGTTGAAACTTATCAGAACTACCCTTGAACTGCTAGAACTATTGACCCACTAATTGCCTTAATTTTATGCCTATAGTAAACATACTTAAATAATTTATGGAATTACTTGTAAATTCTGCAAGATAAGTATAAGTGTTCTGTAGAGCAATAATGCTTTTTCTATTCATTGAATCAAAGACAAATTCTTTTTTTTTTTTTTCATTAGTTAGAAAGCTCCCTTGTGGACACTGCAGCCATGTTTCCCAAAAAAGTATAAGGTCCACATTCACTTTTCACTCAGTGAAATATATGAAGTGCTGAATGACAATGTGAAATTAGTGACTTCTGTTTACAAATGGGACACTTCAGACACTTCCATAGTCCCTCTGTATGCCTTCGCTTTCTAGGAATCCACCCCCAGAAAGCCACATGCCACATAAACTGTCCTGATAAAAAAATGCTCCAGTCTTTTTTTTTTCTTAACTGATAATTATCTAAATGCTTTCTATTATCTCAGATTTCCCTTCTACGAGAATTGACTTGACCCTTGACCAGTTCGAGGTGTGCAGGAAAATTGTGAGGAAAGTGCAGACTTGCCGAGAGTCCCTGCCCGCAGTCTCCCGTTGCTGATGCCGTATGTGGGGGTGGTGCATGCGTCACAGTGAACGGACCACCCTGATGGTCTTAGGTTTCCCCTAACGCCCCTTTTCTGTTCCGGGTCCCATCCAGGAGGCCACGGGACATTGGTGGGCATGTCTCCTTAGGCGCATCTTGGCTGTGACCGCTGCTCAGACTTGCCTTGGTTTTGATGACGATTTGAGGAGTACCGGTCAGGTATATGGTAGGAGGCCCCTCTGTTAGAATATTTTTCTCATGGTTCCACTGGGATTGTGGTTCAGGAGAGGAGGATTACAGAAGTGCCACTTTCATCCCATCCTCTCGAGGGTCCACGCTGTCCACGTGACGTGTGAGTGTTGATGCTGACCTCGATCACCTCGCTGAGGTCAAGTCCATCGGGTTTCTCCACTTTCAGGTTGCTCTTTGCCTCCCTTCCCATGCTGTGGTCTTGGGACGAAGTCGCTGTGCACGGCCCACACTTACGGAGTGTGGGCTTACGCTGCCTCTCCTTGGGGGCAGGGGCCAACATATATCAGCTGGGATTCTGCACGGTGGACTTGTCTCCTCCCTCAAACTCACTGTTAAGCTTTGAAGTTCATCTAGAAGGAACCACGCATTGATTGTTCTGGGGGAGGCTAGATTGACAGGTGTAGTCAGAAAAAGGATCGGGGATGTTAACGGTTAATTTGTTATTAGTATGTTCAGTATGTATATGCTCTACATTCCCAATCATGATTCATTTTTCAAAATTGTCATTTTAGAAAAGGTGTTTGAGAAGCCATTCAAGAACCCCATCAGGACTGTACCCTAAAATGTTTACTGAAGAAATTTAATTTTCAGTTAAAAACAAATCTTGGAAGGGGTTTGTTAAAAACATTGCTTAAAAATGTTGATTCAGGTCAGTATAAATAATTTAAAGAAAATGACCAAGCTTTTTTTGTTTTTAAACTACATTCTAAAATCTATATGGACATCATGTTTTATTTGGGACTATTATTCATTCTTGTTTATAAAGGAAGACATCTTGTTTTCCTCATAAGGATGGACTCTGTGTATAATAAGGAAAAAAGTGTTTGGTTCTTATTTTTGAAACACAAAAGTAAGACTCAAGGTTCTTGTCTAATTTAGTTTTTATATGCTCAGTACAAAGTTCCATTGTGCTTTATTGAGGTTTATAATAAAAGGAGTCCATTTATCAGAAGAGCTGTTTTAAATGAGAAGGAAAAAACATCACTCTGCCTATTCACCTGCTTGGCAAATATCCCTTCATCATTTTTCAAAGAAAGTCAAGCAAGTTAAAAGTTAAGCCTTTTAACATGAACATTGGAATGAGGTATTTTTTTTCCTCCAGAATTGATAGTCTAAGGAATAAGATCATCGTGAATGTAGCATCAGCAAAATTTAGGCCTTGGTCCGTTTGCTTAATAAACATCACGGTCTTAGAAAAGTAAGATGTTTGGCCATGGCCCTGTGTTGTTTTGAGGATACTCAGCCACTCACAAGTAACGTTTCTGTCAGGTATGTAAAACTAGACGTGTGCCTTATTTAACATGCAAAACAGCTGTTCTATTTCACATTAAGAACTAAACCAAAAAACAAAACCTCTGCGTGTTATTTTTGGAAAAAATCCAAACTAATGGTAGCAAGTGTTAAGTATTTTCAACCATCAAAATGTTGAGTATTCAGAGTGTGCTTTAAGCTAGTCTTCCCAGTGCTCTGGTAGATAACGGGAGAAGAAAGTGAAATTGAGGAGCGTTCTGGAAGAAAAAAAGTGTTACCTTATTCTCTGTTCATATTATCTATAACAACTGAACCAAATATTTTGAGTGCCCCCTGCTGTTTGACTTTTTGTTTTCAAAGAAATAACGCCTGTTGTACAACAGAACTCTATCAATGAGGCGACTTCTGGCTTTGGTACGGATCTTGTGGCTTCTAAACAGCCGTGTTTCTCCCCAAACCCACCCCAGTGCCGACCTGTTGCCCTCAGATGTTGTTACCTGTGGTGTTCTGGGGTAGAAGAGCAGTGTGTGAATGCAGGAATTGTTTTGTTAAGTGATAGTGTTGTCAAGTAGGATATTTTAATGGTTACCTCCTTTAGCCTATTTTAGAAAGGCATCACAATATGCCATGGTTGTTTTCTCTGATTAAAAATTAATAGCTCACTCATTTAGGAAGTATTTATTTCCTAAATGAAATACGCAAGGTACACTAGCTGAGGATGTAGAGAAATAAAATAATTGACATAGTCCCTGCTGTGAAGGAACCAATTAAAAGGGAAAGGAATTGCAAATCTCTAATAATAATAATAATAACAATAATAATAATAGCTTAGAAGTTATGAGTCCAAGATTCTAACGCCAGTCTTTTAAAGCTGCTGCATCTAAAGTGTGGCCTGAGTTCCGAACCACAGCGCCGCCTCAGACGTCCACGTGTGTGGTTACATGAAGTGTGTTTGATGACGCTGCCCTCTGAGATGCCTCCTTTTAAAGGACAGACTCAGAGGCCCGTAGAGACTCCGCATCTGGTTCTGCTGTCACCGCTGTGTGCAGTCTGTGAACCAGGCAGCACGGGGCTCCCTGATGCAGTGGCGCCCCTTTGGGTACTTAGGGCCGCTGGCTGTACTGTGTAGGGTGAGGGAGTGTGGGTGCACGTTGGCCGGAGGCCAGTTTTGACGTCTTTATCTTTAACATCATTCTCTAGAATCAGTCCCTCCCTTTTCAGGTAAAATTGCACATGACAGTGCTGTTGACAGCAGTCTGTGCTAATGCCCTAATAACAGGACCCAGGACTGCTAATGAATTCGGTATTTCTTAAGTAAAGTGAAGAAATAGACCCCTGATCAAGAGAAAACTGTGAACGTTCTCATAATCAGTAGATCTTCCTTCTCTTCTAGAAAACCTGGATTTTCAGGAAAAGGTTATTTGCATGAATAAAATTTCTAAAGCAAATACCATTTTGTTTAGCATAAAAGACCTTGACTCTGGGTAGATGTTTGTAAATCAGAATATAAATTTAAGAATGTCAAATGAATACCTGAATCTAATTCCCCCACCTCCCAAAGTGCTTCTCAACAGAAGAGTTTTTACAAACCCCATCAATACGGATCTCTCACCTTCCTCAGACCTATAATTTATTCGTGTGTTTCTTAAAGCTTATTTAAAAAGCGGAATTCTTTTGATCAAACCAGTTCAGATTTTGATTTGGTCAAGGTAGGGAATTATGTGTATTTAGGAAGATGCATGCTTTATTTTGAAAATAATAGGATTTGTGCAATATTTTTCTTGCATAATTTAGTTCATGTAAATATGCACGTCTGCTTTTCTAGCAGATGCCTTAAGGTCATGTTTTTCAGTATTTGTGTAAAACTGTGTGTAGCAATGTTCTGTGTGATTTTAGAAAAAAATATAGTCTTTATATTGTTGGCAGGAGAAATGTTTTTATTTAAAATAATTATGAATATTGCATTATTGTATCATAGCTAACTGCCTCAGCAACAATAAATATGCAATAAGAAAATCCTGAACTTTAGATTAGCATTGACAATATTGTTACTTTAAGGAGAAATGTATCTAGTGCAACTGGCTGATTCTACTTGTGTGCATTGAACCAACACCCTGTCTGCACCACATACATCTAAATGGCATTTGTATGGCGATGACTATTTACGTAGATTGTAACATCCTTTGGGATGAACCTTTGGTAAGATTTATAAAGGGCATTGCCAACACTTTCTGACTGTCTGTAAATTGAATTAATTTTTGTATAATGTACAGTTTGGTTAACCTTAGAGCACCTATAGATTTCTACTTTTATTATACTTGAATCAGGCAGAAAAGCACTGTGGAAAATCCACAGCTCTGGATGCAATACACAAATAAATATACCAAAAAAATCAGACAGGGTACTTACTTTGCAGGAGTGTTAACTGGATGCCTTATATCCAGAAAGCTGTGTGTTTTCAAACTCATACTTTAGTGAAGGAATTGAACATATACAATCATTGGTCTCTCAAAAGGTTATAGTCACAAATGATTACCTCTTTGATATGAGAAACCTCTGAGTCTCTTGATCTCTGTGTAATTTCAGTTCTCAGATGAGAGCCTTGTCGGGGGACAGTAACCAGTCACCCTCTGGTGGCTTACGTGATGTTAAGGAGAGGACAGAATTAGAACTCGGCACGCACATCAGCTCACCGTCCCTCAGGTACCATGGCTTCCATATGGTGGTTTTCAGGACCATTTAATAACCAGACACCCAAGACGAGATTTTCTGAGTCTGCTCTGATTTATTATAATACTTAGAGCAACGCCCGAGACAGCAAACTAGGATGAACTGCATGAAACCTACAATGCGTCAGGCTGTTTTACTTAAAGGTACATGAGAAGCTCACAGTTGAACTTTTCCAAAACTTGTTTCTTTTGCTTTAAATGGATAACTGTGTAAAAGGACTGAGCTTTTTTTGCCGGATGTGGTGACAGATATCTGTGAAAACCTACCCAGCATTGAGACATGCTTCCTTGTCCCAGCATCCTTGAGGCTGCAGCATAAATCATCTCTAAAGTTGAGTACTACTGGGAGAACTTTGTGCATCAAAGTATTGTTTGGGGAATTTAATAAAAATATGCATAAATACTGGATGAACTACACATTGCCATTAAGTGCCCAACAATGCAGTTACGAAATAAAATTGGTCATCGTCAAAGCTTGACGTGGTGGTGGCTCTTTTATGATTGGCCAGCTATCCTTTTCATTTTTCTAGGTGACTGATGCAGGGACCTTATCATCCCCATCTCTGCTTTGCAGCTGCTGCAGTGCAAATCCAAGCCTCCATGTTTCCGACAGGTCTGCTCCAGCAGTACCCATGCTTTCGTGTCCAGCTCTGAAATCATAGCATAGATAACATAGAGTGTCATAAGTGTATCAGAGCAGGGCCATCCAAATTAAACAACTGTGTTTATCAACCTTCCTTTAAGAGTTGAGGACAGAGAGGGAATACAGTAAAGTGTATGAACAGCACCCCAGAGACGAGGGGGGTGACCGCATCCAATAGCGATGATGGTTCCACCTGGAGCAAAAGTCAAATTCCTGTTGAAATAAGCATATTTCAAGATTGAAGAGCAAGATTGTCATTATTTGCACAACACAGAATTCAAAGAGACAGTGAGGATGAGCAGTAGTTTTCCTGGATATGCTGAGTGGAAGGAAACTCTGACTCTAGAAATGATGACTTCACTTGATCCTCATCGTCTCAGTAGAGGCCCCGTAGCTCCCTGGCGCGGTTCCTATGGTCATGATGACCCCCTTCTTTTGTGACTTTCCACTTATCCACCACCTTCCCTAGAGCCAGTCTCACAGCAGCTCTAACAAACATTTCATGAGTGTGCATTGCCTCTGGCTGTTCTGTCAGAGGGGGGAAATTAAGTAAACAATTTTCATGTGCCTGGGTTAATCTGATTTCCACACTGACACAGCCAGTCTATCCTCTTGTGACTCATGCCCTCGAAAGCACAACTTTGTTCATTGTTGACTCTCCGGTTCTTAGCACGACAGCAGGCTGACTTCTTGATGCTTGAAGCTTGTGTGAAACGCACTTGGACAGACCACGCCGAGTTCAAGATGGCAGCACTTTGAAAGAATCTTACCGGCCTTTGTGGACTCGTACGCGAGTATGAGAAGCAAACCATCCTTTTCTTTGGAAATGGCCTATCGTTAAATGTTCACAGCAGGCTTGCAAACCTGAACGTGAAAGAATGGTGCTGAGCTCAGTAATAGCGACATTCTCCGTCTCAAACGCACCCTGATGTTGTGACGGAGGGAAAGATACACAAACGGGTAGCCAGCAACATCTTTTCTCAAGAAGCCTGGAGAAAGTTACTCCTGGGTCACGTCTACATGAGTTATGGATTAACTTTCTCAAATTAGAGCACAGCGAGGTATTATTATATGTACTTTTAAAAGATGCACAACCAAAGGATAATTTAAATATTTGCCCCCCCCCCCCGATTTATTGGATGGGTAAATGTGAAATTTACTCAAGCGCGACCTCTGTCTTTTTTTTTTTTTTAATGACCTCTTTCTTTACACGTTGTTGTTTGTTAATGAAGTGCAGCCTTAACTGTACAGACCATTAGGTATTTTAAGGTTTAAGCTGAATATTGTATACAAGCAACTGACATTTGTTTTGTCCCAGTGATTACACATTTATTTAATGATTTTGAAAATGTCAGCGTAGCAGGAAGGAATGCAGAGGTCATTTAAAGCTTATTTGTGTTCAAATTATTTGATAGAACCCCAGCCATATTTGACCCTCAGCACGCTGTAACTAGGGCCATGATCTCATTTTGATACTGTAGATAATTTGAAAGGCCCAGCCAGGAATGTCGGAATTTCAACCTAATTAGTTGCATCTTATTTTGTGATTTGTCCTGGGCGCCCTTGCTTGCAGGCTGAACTTTTTTTTTTTTTTTAACCTTTCTCATCCTGTCACATTTTAAATGTCATCAGACCAGTGTTTATATAATTGGTTTTTCCTTTCGCTACCTTCCTCCACACGAGAACATTTCTTCTGGGGCTCTGCTCCTTCGCCCTGGACAGTCACAAAATCTCCTCTCAGAAACGTCCCTGGACTGTGTCCTCTGTATCTTCTCTACCAGCAGCAATGCTCCTGCCAGGTAAGCTTTCAGATGACACGTTTGATTTCAATAAGTATGTTGTACTTGGCACCAAATGCAAGACATTTGGTGCTTTTTTTTCTTTTTTCTGTAAATGAGTAAACTGAATAATTCTCCCACTTATTGGGTTGTCATAAAAGTCATGAAGGTTTTTCTGCAACGAAAACCATTGAAAAAAATACATCATGACTCTTCCGACAACCCAATAGAAGGAATGTAAGGAAAATATATGTAATGGTTTTAAAATCCGACTTGTATGTTCCGGTTATGGTTCAATGACTTTTTAAAAACATGCATTTTGAACAGCCTTGTGGGGTCCGGGCACGTGTGAAACCGTCAGCCTAAGAATGACGTATGATGTGGGTGGGGTAGGGTTGGAGGAGGAGACCCATCAGAGAGCATCAGATGCCTGCATTTAATTTAACTTCAGTGATCGATGCAGAGAAGGTGCGAGTTGCAGCTAGCTCAGTTTGCTTCCTTTTTTAGGTGTAAGAGAGAGCAAGGGGCAGACTCTAGACTCAGAACAGAAAAGTCGGTGCTGACAAGTGGGTAGCCTTGAACAGGTAAATGTTAGACCACGTTTCCTCTTCACAGGTCACAAGGGCGATTATGCTGACACGTGAGAAAGTTCACAGGGACACACACTCTGATGGAGGGGAGCGGTAGGGGGACCAGCTAAGTCTGCCCATGATTACATTCACCAACACAGCAGCTTCTTGCTGGACAGATTTTCACCATCCACATACCTATCCAGGTCACCAATTAGAGCTAGGTGTGCCCAGCTGTCCTGGGGGTTCCTGGGGCAGAGCTAGGTGTGCCCAGCTATCCTGGGGGTTCCTGGGGCAGCAAGACTTGTGTCTGCACGTGCTAAGATCGGGCTACTCTTACAAGCAGGTGGAGAGCTTTGCGCGTGCTTGAGAGGCGTGGTCCAGAGCAGAGCAAAGGACCTGAGGAGAGGTGAGTGTGACAATGGGACAGGCCTAATGCTTAATGAACTTGGAGACTAGAAATGTTCTGAAAAGAGCCTGCCTAGGGACGTTTGTAGGGCTCAGGAGAGCCTCCCCAGCACCCTTCTTAGCAATGGCCCCCGGAAGGTGGGTGACAGTGAAGGAGGGGCTGATGGAAGCTGCCTCCTGCCACTGTTGCAGCTGGCGGAGTTTCTGGTGCCCCACTCCTGACAAGAGTGAGACCCTGTGAAGGTCAACACACCGCAGGAAACTAAGGCGACTTCCATAGTTTAATGTTTTCACCCAGGGACTGGTTTTTAAGGTGGCCCGGGCTGTCCTCAGGCAGTTACTGCTTAATGTATTTGATGGGCGTTGTCCCCAGGTTTCTAGGTACCAAATCGCTGAAGCACAGGCTTAAATTGGAAACATGCATTTTTGTCATCGCTGTTCAATGCAGTGCATGGCAGGGAAAGCTGCACTTTAGCTGGGAGCAGGGTGAAGTGTGAAAGGTCATATTCACTCCAGAATTAAGGGAAGTTTCATGATCAAAATCGTACCTCATGTTGCATAAGACCAGGTGCAGCTGGCTGTCTAATCATCTTCAAAAGGGTGACTTAAACCAGGACACACGGGTCCGTCTTTCTTGCTGGCGATGGCCGTGATTCCTTAACAAAAGAGGTTTAAGGAGAAATCCTAAAAGGCTTTTTTAAAAAAAAGTCATCTCTGTAAAGCAAAACCTTTTTTTAAAAAAATTCTTGTCGTGAGTTGTTTGGGGGTGCTGAGAGACCTGCGACCTTTTGATTGATTTTCTGACAATTTTATTGAGAACATGGGAGTGATCTCTATGTTCAGATAAAGTGACTTCTTCCGTCGGCTGGGATGCCATCACGGGGCAGGTATGGGAATGATATGAGAAAATACCCGTTCTGTGCACCAAACCTGCCTCTTTCTCAAATACATCGTAAGAGGATGGGAAGGAGGCTGGAGGTGGGGGTAGGGGGGTTACCCCCGTGGTTTGTTTGGCAGGTAGAGCAGGAGGCAGGAGACAGTGTTACCTGTGGTTGCCATGTGTCCTGACTCCAGCTTGTCTCAAAAATAATGAGATGCTACACATTGTGTCACCTACCGATGACTGTTTTGCACTAACAGCGACTGGAAGATGTGGTATGAGTCCCATTTTTCAGGCTAAGTTCACGTCACCTGGATGGGGCAGATCAGAATGTTTCTTGGTCTCCAAAGGCTCTTAAAATGAGGATAAAAGTTCCTCTACCAATGAGCTGCTGTGAGGTGTAAGTGAGACACAAGGTATGTTGTGTACCTAACAGGCTAAATCTAGTCCTGGCCCTTAGCTCCCCCCAGGACCCCTTGGTAGCCTCACAGGGAGAAAATCATCATTACGGTGATGCGTTCTAGTTCTGCCTCTACATACGGCAGATCTTCTTCGCTTACGCCCACTGATGCTAACGGTCAATAATAATAATAATAATAATAATAATAATAATAATAACACGGCTGCCCAGGCCAGACGCTGGGACCGTACCTATCTCCGTCTCAGATGAGAGGACCTGCTAAGCTGGCCATTGGAGGAAGAGAACTAGGCTCATGTTCGACAGCTGACTTAAGTTAGTCACTTGTCATTACCTGCTTCTCTTCACACTGTCCCGGCACAAGCCATGTGAGAGGCCACATGAAGGAGCCTTCCTGTCACTCCTTGTAAACGCACACCAGATTCGGCTTTTCCATTGGCTGCCCGGCCGGGGTTCCTGGGGGCAGGAAGTCGGCTGCCCTGTGTCGCTTTACACCCAGCCCCATAGCCTGCAAACAGCGGTGCTGGAGGGACCGTCACCCTCAGCACCACCCGGCCCTGAGCCAGGCTTGGTGGCTCCTCACCCATATTTCCTACTCTGAGAGAAATCAGGCACGCATTTGTCATATTAATAGTGTACTAATTCTTGTCACCATGCAGGTGAATACTGCTTCATCCACGAGTTCCCAGAGTAACGGTTTTGGAAGCAAAGAAGTCAGAATCCGAGCAGTGCTGTCTGTTGCCTCGTCGGTGTGAAGAACTGTGTCACGTACCCATTGCTGTACACCAAACTGCCCTAAGCCTTAGTGGCGTCACACAATGAATTGTTACTTCTAGTCGATTCTGTGGCTGGATTGGGTCATTCCTTCCTGTCTCACATGGGTTGCTGTAAGTGACCTCCTTATGTGTTTGGAGCGTCCACAGGGATTCATTCATTCATTCATTTACACCTGCATGCATTCATTCATGCATACATTTGAATCCTCTGCAAAGCCTGCAGTAGCAGCTGCGGGGAGCGTGTGAACAGCCAGATTGGTTAGACAGCTTTTCTCAACTTAAGGTGCTACCATGGACAGCTCTCCTTTTCTTCTGCGCTCTGCTGAATAGGACCAACTTCTCTGGTTTCTTCCTTCCTTCCTTCTTTCCTCCCTTCCTTCCTTCAGCTACATATTTTTCTTCTTCTAAGGAAAACCTCTTTTTGTCCTTCCCACATGAACCCGTGTTAAGGAGTTGTGTCTAATAGAATGCAAAAGTAAAGTGTCTCATGGCAGAGTCTACATGTAGACGCCAAGAGACACCATCTTTTTGAACTAACACTCAAAGCAATATTAGAAGTTGCAGGAAAGCCAGAGATGAAGACATTATGAAACAGGACAAGGACAATTTAGTAGCCAGAGCTTCCAATAACATCTCACAAAATTTTGGGCACTTTGGGATTTGGTTGGTGGCAGGTACAAATTTGAGCAACATTCATCCATTATTTGTTCACTGATGCAGAAAATATTTATTGTGTTTTTACTATGGGTTAGGCCTATTCTAGGTGAGGGACATGGCAGCTTGCCAAAAGAAACAACGTTTTTGTCCTCACATAACTTAAATTCTAGTCGCGGGCAAATGGTGAACAACAGAAAACAATATGTGATTTTTCAAGTGATAAACAACATAGAAAAAATAAGCAGATGGGGGGAACCAGCAACACAGACTGACAGGGGCTGGACAGTGACATAAGAGGGAAACCAAGATAGAATACTGTCCCAATGGGTGGAAAGTATTTCAGGAAGGACTGACAGCTGTTCAAAGACAGCCGAGGCCCGAGGATGGGCCATTGGGTTTGGCAACATGGAGGTCAGACGTGGTGCAGAGAAACACCAAATTGGCTTGAGGTCAAGAGAGAATGAGAGGAGAGGAAGAAGAGGTGGAGAATACAGGAGGCTCTTTGGTGGCTGTTTTGCTGAAAGGCGTCCTGAAAAATAGGTGGTAACTGGAGGGAGATGTGGGCCATGGGGGAGAGTCATGTGTGACAGGCAATACAACGGTGTGTTTGCTGCACCTGGAAATGAGCCAGCTCAGTGGGAAGCTGATGGTGTGGACGAGAGAGGGGCGGCCTCTGGGAAGATGACCTTGAGTCGTTCAGAAGGAAGGACTGCTCTAGAACAGTTAAAAATTCATGTCATTAACTTTTTTGAGTATATACCCAAAAAGCATATGCACATATTAAAATGTTTTATTTATATGCTACTTGAATAGCATACATGTGTGTATTGTCATCTGCTGCCTTGCAACCAGAGAGGGACAGGCAGCCGCGGGTGTGGCCGAGTCCTCCTTGGGTCCACAGCTGTGGCAGAACCAGAGGGCTGATCTGCTTCCCAGGTCTTGTAACCTGTGAGAAACCAAGACTCTTGTCTGGAGACGCTTCTTGGTTCTCAGAAATGTGGTGAAAATGAGAGAGCAAATTCAAGACCAGAGAGGCAGCCCCATCACTGCCCCTCCTGGCTGTGTGGTGGACAGTGAAGGCTCAGACCACGGAGGCCGAGTCCTGGGTTCGATTTTCAGCGCTGCCACCCACGCACGTCCACGCTAGCAACTCACCTCTCAGGGACTCGTTTTCATCACCTGCAAAATTGGATATTTAATATCTACTTCAGAGGGTGGGAGTAGTGAGTCACAGAAGACGCAGAATCCACCAAGGATGCTCTAAAGTCAGTTCTCAACACAAAAATACCAGTAGCCCTGAATATGCCGCTTACCATTATCCCCCACTCTCTTTACTTATGAGAGTTAAACTATGGCTCTCTCAGCACCTTGCAGTACGACCAAGGGAGCCAGCCTGCAAACCAAATATGGCTGTTCCTTGCTTCAGTCAAGTATCTGATGAAGCAATTCACCCACTTGGATGACGCTGAGTAAGTGGCTTTGGAAATGGTCTCTGGGGGGCCCTTGGAGCTTGAATTCTCATGGTCGAAAGGCCTTTTTGCTCTGCTGTTCTTCAGCTGTGCCTAAACCACGCAGCCCCGGAATGGATCTTTCAATAACCGAAACTGCGGTGATCTGATGGGGCGGGCCTCCAAGTGCGGGGCTGTCCTGAAAACCAGCACGGATGGAAGACCAGACCGATTTGCTTGGGCTGTGCTTCTAACACTGCGCTTCTGAATAACCTTTTTCTGAAAAGATTTACCGCAAATTAATTAAAAATTTCAAGTAAAGTTATTTTTCAAATGGGCACGTCTCGCTCCTCTCTCTCGTGCCTCATCTCATGAAATCAGCAGGAATGTGTCTGTGGTTAAAACAGCGGCAATGTCGGGGTTAAACGTGGCTTCTGGAAAACACTAGGGTGAAGCAAATTACTTAAAATCCTTCCTAGAATTTGCTTATATCAGTTACATAGAAATATGTGGAGAGAGTTTGAGGTGGGAATTTAAAATGCCTCAATGTACCACATGATTACAGCTTACATTCCACCTCCAAAATGTGAGTCTGAAACTAGTGTGTGTGTGTGTGTGTGTGTGTGTGTGTGTGGTGTGCGTTACACGAACAGCTGACCAGTATGTACTATTATGAGAATTAGCAATTAATACAAAAATTAAAGATGTTTTTTTTTTAAAAAAACTGGCTATAATATTTATCTTCCATCTGTACATCTCAAGCAAAGTGAGGCCATCTCTTTAACTTTCATCCCACAAATTAAAAAAAAAAGAGAGAGAGAGAGAGAAAGCCAGAGGAATATTCTGTATCTGAGACGTAGGGGAGAGGCTGTAAGGACTTGTTGTTGTCACAGGTAGGTTTTCAGCTTAGTGGATGGTAAAAACCTCCCTCACAGACCTGCGCCCTTGAGTTAGCTGATCAGTGAATTGCTAGAAACAGCCGTTTCCATAGTAATGCTAAATATATGCCGGAACCCGGTCTTTAAAATGCATATGGCTACAGCAGCCAATGCTCTGACCATCAATATATTGTCCACTTTGCAGTTATAAGGGGAGACAGGGTCCTGAAAAGAGGAATTGGGAAGGCTCCTGGCACAGCCTGGGGCCATTCAGCCTGATGCTCCGGTTACGCCTGTGGGCATCAGAGTGCAGGCGCCTCCCTCAGCGGGCCCCGCCCCACGTCCTCACCTGCTGCTCCCAAGGTCACAGGGGGATGTTCCCTGCTGGCCCTCCCCTCGTTCTATGACCCATGCCCCTTCCTGGAAACATACCGGCTTCCTATTTTTTAGTTCTCTTTCTGTGTCCATGCCAAGCATCCTCCACTAACTAGCCAGGGTTTTTATAGGACACAAAAGGATTTGAGTTCTTTACACCTCACCTCTGCCATGGTCTATTGGTTTTAGAAGGTGATAGATAAATAAGTCAATTGATTTTAAATATAATTTCAGAAACAATAGAATTTCAGGAAATGAGTTGTTTTAAAAGTCAGGGGGACTTTTAAGATTTACTGATACTAAAGTCATACGACTACTAACAACTAAATGCAATTGATTGCATCCTGGATCAAAGATAAATCTATAAATGTTATTATTGAGACATTTGGAGCAATCTGAACATGAATAGTATGTGTGATGATAAATTTCTCGATACCAGTATTGTGGTTTTAGAAGGAAGTCTTGTTTTCTTAGGAGATACTTGCTGAATATTTAGTGGTGAAGTGTTATCATGTCTTTAACCTACTTTCTGAAGTCACAGCAAGAGAGAGAGAGAGAGAGAGAGAGAGAGAGAGAGAGAGAGAGAGAGAGGAGAGAGAGATACAGGGTAGCAATATGTTAAAAAAACTTGGTGAAGCTGGGTGAAGGGCATATGTGTGTTTATTGCACTATTTTATTTCTGATTTTCTTTAGTTTTCAATTTTTTTCAAAAAAAGTTGGAAAAGTAATAGTTTTAAACATGATCATTTGAATGAAAATAATTCCTCTAACCCCCAAATTTGCAGGTCTTGCCGCTTCTACTAGCCCGTCCTCGGCTATCCCAGGCCTTGCTGATGACCCTCTCCTCGCTGTGTTTATTGCCCAATCTCTTATCACTGCGATGACATTCACGGATCACATCCTATGTTGTTTCCTCAGACAATTGGCCTTGACCCTGCCAGCCAGTGCCAGGCATGCAGTGACCACACATGGACGTTCTCAGGACCTATTGGCATCATAATATTTGACCTGAAAGCCATTCCTTGGCTCTTTTCGCACTCAGATGTCTTTCTTCTTTCCGACTGTCTGCAGTTGGTCAAAGCTGCTATTAATTTAGTCTCACGTTATGTCGGAAAAAGAGTGCCAAATCCCTGACACCCTCGTGGTTTATCACAGAGCCCCTTGGCACATGTAATCTAGTCTGTGTCATTGTATTTATCGCCCCCAAATCAAAACCAGTTGCCAAAGTAATGAAGGTCCCTTGGCTTGTGGTGACTTAATCCACGTCAGAAGAGCTCTAGCAGCATGGAAGGATCATTTGACCAGCAAGAGGAAAGCCATAAAAATGATCAAAAAGCCAACAGATATGCTGAGAACACCAAGCCTATTTTACTGAGGATTTATGGCCAACTTATCGGAAAAGTATTTGATCCAAGTCTCCATTCAAACAAGTCCCTCAGTAATTCAGCAGCGATTCCAGCCTCTGTAAAAAAACAGCCTCCTATAACGAGATACCCTCGCAACCCCTAACTTGCAGCACATGTAGTCTAATTTTCAACAGTTGTGGGGCTGCAGTAAATCCAGCTTTTGAATAACCCATTCCACTTATACCTCAACCCTGCGTTACGTTACTCGAGCACGGCATCATCCCCTCTGACATACGTGCGTTTTATTAATCAAATCGAGCTTCAATGTCCGACATCCCCACACAGGGCGGCTGTGCCAGTTCTGTGGTGTCCCAGCAGCAGCGAATGCCACACCACCCCTGCCACACGATGTCAGCTGTGCCCCAGCCCCAACTTGAGAGGTTGGATTTTATTGACCAGACTCAAATTGGCTTCCCCTCGTGGAGGTGATAAACTGTGGCATCTAGCCACCCATGTCAAATCTATCACTTTAACTTTGACAGCTTGTCATTGGAGAACTTGTTTATAGACTCTGTTGTGCCATTTACTCTATTCTTATTTTAAAAAGCAACAGAGGAATAAAAACCCTTTCTTCCAGCGTTTCACTGACGAATGTCTCTACCCTGCCCCTTCTCTTAAATAATCTCAGAAGTAGCTGTGTCTACTGTCACTTTACATCAAATTGCCAGACTTGCAGCTGCCAGGCCAGCCTAGCGGACGATGAGACACACA